GTAGGAAATGAAGTGTCTTAGTCAGATGCTAAATGAGGCAGTTAATAGTCCATTTTACTTAAGGTAAAAACATGTGGTGTTTGCTCTAGAGATGTGAAGGACACCTGCTATATTGTTATGTCTTTTCCAGTTGAAGTTTTTTTGTCTTTCTCCTTTGGCATCAGATGCACTTAGCTATTTCCTTGTTTGTATTCAGTATGTTTTCTAATAACTTCCTGTTGCCCTCAAAATGCAATAAAGAGCCATCCCAAAAGTTAGAGGTGACCACAGTTCACTTCATTTCACGTAAAACAGTGTCAAAGTTCAGTTGTGTTTTTTCAGTTAATTGAATAACTGCACAGTTTTAAAGTTTTAAAAATATAGATTCTTTGAAATTAAATGTGTCCTTTATCAAGCGATGTGTGTGCTGGTTAAAATTGTTAAAATCAGTCTGTCACTTCCCTGTGTAAAGCCTCTGAGTTCAGAAATGGTTTTGAAATGGAAATGTACTCTGTCCATGGACAGCTTTATTTAAGACTGAAGAGTCTGTCTTTAATTTCTTCTGAATAGTCGAACCCCTGGAAGTCGACAAGCCTCCCCAACAGAAGTAGCTGAACGCTTGGGCCCCAATCCCAGCACCACAGAAGGATTAGGTCCACTTCCTAATCCTACAGCCCACAAGCCTCTGGTAGAAGAATTTTCCAATCCAGAAAATCAGAATCTAGATGCCATGGAACAAGTTGGTCTTGATTCGCTACAGTTTGACTATCCTGGCAATCAGGTACAAATGGACTCTTCGGGAGCTACTGTAGGACTTTTTGACTACAATTCTCAGCAGCAGGTTAGTACTGGACTTAAAACCAATGCCAAATTGGTCCTTTCAAGTTGTACGTTACCCTCTTTGATAATCAGTCGTTTAAGCACAAGATGTATTTAATTTGTTTTCTCTGTGACTTAGTCAAAGGTAAATAAATGTATATTTAATCTAGAGGAGCATTAGTGCATAATTTTCTAGTTTTTGTAACTTACTAGGATGGAAGCTTGGTTTAAAATCTGGTTTTTTGTAAGTAAATCCCAGTATAATATAGCCCTGACTCTTGAAAACTGAAATGCATCTTTCCTTTCTTTTCCAATAGCTTTTCCAGAGGACTAATGCTCTGACTGTGCAGCAGTTAACAGCAGCCCAGCAGCAGCAATACGCACTGGCTGCAGCTCAGCAGCCACACATAGGTGAGGTTTTTGTAAACCTTTGTGCAGCAGGCATCCCTGGCAAAAGTGGGTGCGTTGCTTTGGTGATTCTTGATAATGCAGTTCAAAACCATTGTATAGTAGAATTTCAAAATGAAAGTTGGGTTCATTCATTCTTCCTTGCTAATGACAGCTTTTAAACGGATAGCTCCTTACTCTTGCAAGTACCTTTCTTCGTGATGGAACTGTTGTTTAGCGCACATTTTCTCCCACACCTTTAAAGGAACTCAGTGAATTAACTAAATGTGTATCTTGGTGTGCTGGCAGCTCAACACAGAGGCTGTGACAACAGTTTCATCTGCTGTTGTGGGGAAGCTGTGTGTTTGGGGTGAGTGAGGTTGGTATGCATGTGAAAGTAATTCCTTGTTTAGGGAAGGGAACTCCTCAAATTCTGACACTAGGGCAGGATTAAAGATTCCTGCCCTTCCCACTCCAACATTAGGCTGTTGAGGTGTGTGCATCTGTTTTTCTTTGCAAGGGAAAAAGCGTTCTCAGGATCTGAAGGGCTGACAGAAATAGGAAGCAGCATTTCCAAAGGGATGTTCCCATATTCTTCTGCGATATGGTGACCGTTAAGTTTTTCCCACTGGCTTTAGCTGCACTGGTACCTGTTAAGACAGGGATCAGCAGCTCTTAGCTGGGGTTTAGAAGTGGCAGCTCTTTAATGTTATATAGGGGACTAATACAGTCTTAGAACTTGGGAGCATGGCAGATGGAGATGTTTTGAGTCCAGTTCCTGCCTTCTGCTTGTCTTTGGCTTCTGAACTATGGAGAAGCCCCTACTTCGTATAAAGTGCTGACCGGGCAGTCAGTTGTATTGTGCCCCTTTGAAGTGCAGCCTCTTCTGATATGCATATTAATAGAAATTTATCAAGAAGCCTCCTATTTGGAAGGAAGAACGTAGTTTGTGCCGTGCTTGCTGGAATAGGTGCTGCCTCGGTGTTGGAGAAAATATGTGAACCTGACTGCTGGGAAACTGGGTAGCAATGCTTTGTTTGACTGAGTTTCTTCAGTTGTCTCCTTCCATTACAAATCTTCTATCAAATTTAGATTCTTGAATGTAAGATTAACATCTCAGAACTGGCTTTTTAAAAGCCAGGTATCTGATTTGAACTCTGGTTAGATTCTTTTTTTTTTCTGTGTTGTCAATAAAAGGAGATTTGTATCTCTAGAAGGTGATTCATTCTATCTGGCTGATTCACTTAAGACAATAGAAGATCTGTCTGATACTGATTTAGTTGTAAGGCTGTTGTAACTTTTAGATTGTTACAGTTGGGCAAGTAAAATACCACTGAGTATTTTTTTTATGTAACAGTGGGTAGATACATAGGAGATAAATTTCCTTGGAATCTAATTTTTCCTTAGATCCAGGAAAACAAAGCTGTTAGGCCATGGGATTAATAAGAAAAAGGACTGGTGAGAAGACAGAAGTGTTGATTTCTGTAATGGTGTACCTGCTCTTAGAAACTTCCAAAGTACAAGCAGTTCTGATTTTAACAGATATGCTTTGTGATTTGATTGGTTTGAATATGATGATGCTTGCTAAGCATGTTAGCTATAATGAAACTCTGTTTATTACTGTAGCAGGCGTATTCTCAGCAGGCTTGGCTCCAGCTGCTTTTGTGCCAAACCCATACATTATCAGTGCTGCTCCTCCAGGTACTGACCCATACACTGCAGCTGGATTAGCTGCAGCAGCTACCCTAGCAGGTAACTGAACACTTTCTAGTGTCTTGTCTTGATAGTTTTATTGAATGAAATTAGAAAAAAGCTGAGATTCATCCTGTTCTCTGTAAATGTATTTCTAGGAAGGAGGGACTTGCAGGAAAAGTAATATTGCAGTTTTGAAAATTTTTCAGTAAAATGTAAAGGGATTCAGTTTTTATTATATATGGATTCTGGGTATTTCTTTACACTGGACTTTTACATGCAACACTTCGGTTTCTTCTGTTCTAAACATGCTTATCCTTAAGGTTTCACCTGACAGTTAGGAGTAGGTATTAATTTCAAAAGATGACACAGCTAGCCTTTAATCTATGTATGTTTTTACTTTTAATTTTCTAATTCTAGGTTTTCTCATGCTCAGTGTGCATGAGAATAGTCTCCAGCATCCTAAAAGGCCCAGACAACAGATAAACCCAGGAAAATATCTTAAAAAGTTAATAGATGTCACTGGGAAACAACACTGCGTGTTCAGATCCCAGCTAGTGCTCAGACCTGAGCATAACATTTTAGGAAAAAACTGTCTCCAGTTGGTGGTTTCACAGGAAAGGCCATAGAAAGAACTAAAATAAATGTATACATAAAATGTGTACAATCCAGTGATAGAGAGCTCATTCTTCTACAGTTCCTTATCAGTAGACTGGAAGAAATAAGTGTGCTCACTCTTCAGTGTGTCACAGTAGGCAGGGGAGGCAGAGGCAGTTGTTGTGTTTATAAGCAACAGAAGCATACCAAAGGGAGGAATAATAGATTATCAAAGTCTCAGTACATCACTATCAGGAGGATGAATTTTGTTCATTTTGTGATGTTCTGAAATGATCTTTTTTTCCAACCATGGAAACTGATGTTGAGTGTTTTTTTGGTATAGAAGCTTTGATTAAGTATATTTTTTGTCACCTCGGTCTCAAAGGGGTGCTTATTTTTCATAGAGAAGGTATGTTTTGATGTGAATTCTTTAACCCATTTGTGTTCCTTTATGACTTTGGCTAATATGGGAATTAATTTATTTTTAATACTGATTTGTTTTGACATTTAGAAGGTAGGTCAATGAGGGATGCTACAAACAATATAGACAATTACTTTACCTGCAATAGATGAAATAATCACATTCTTTGGTTTTAGGTCCTGCTGTGGTTCCGCCTCAGTATTATGGTGTTCCATGGGGGGTGTATCCAGCCAATTTATTTCAGCAGCAAGCTGCAGCAGCAAATACCACAGCAAATCAGCAAGCGGCTTCACAGGCACAACAGGGGCAGCAACCGGTATGTTCTTCATAAAAAGATGTCCATTTACAGCCTTACCTTAACGTTTTCAGTATAAGGATCAGCTTTTAGAAAATTTTACATAGTTCAGATGTGTTATATCAAATAATAAATAAATATTAAAAATTCTCGATTTCCTCACATTACTGATGATGGTTGTCTTCAAAAATTCATTTACTGCATACTGAATATTTACCTTATTTTGCAGTACCAGTTTTTAAAATAAAACCCATTAAAATAGTTCCTTTAATCCAGGTTACTGTGCTGTTATGTTTATGTCTAGATAATGGTGCTTTTGTACAGTAATTGAAAAATGAACGTAAATTTTTAAAAGTAACCTAGAAAGCTAACATAAGGGGATGAAAAAAGATGTTTCAGTAATTTTAAGAGGATATTTTATCTTTAAGCTTGTGAAAAAGTTGACCTGCATTTTTATTAATTAGCTGGAAAGTGGAATGTTACACATCTTTTCTGTTTCTCTAAAGTAGGGAAATAAAGGTTTTAATGGTAACTTTGTTGCTTCATGGGGAAGATGGATTGCCTTGCATACGTTTCTGTGACAGAATAATTGTATTACAACATCACCATGTGCCATATGTTGTTTTTGCCTTGGTAAATCAAGAGTGAGCAATTGTTACAAGAACTTGTGGAAATTTACATTTCTTTAAGTAACTTTTTAAAAAAATTCTAATTTTCTATTGTTAATCTGGATGTGTTTTTAAAACCATTACATCATCTTTCAGTAAAAACAAACAGCCTTTTTTTCACAAAGGGAAAACACAAATCTTAACGTGATTTTACACTTGAATGACTGTGAGTTTTATTATTAGCAATCTGGTTAATTTCAATGCCATTCTTATAAATTTGACAAGTGACTTGGAGTTACCAGAAGTTCCAGACTAGCTTCATCACTGTTTTAATACTCAGGTGGATCTTTCCCCCTACTGATCATTATCAGTGAACTGCATTGATAACTGAATATGTATCATCCCTCCAGTGTGTTTTTTTTTGCTTGCTCTATAAAATTAATACCCGATTCATGCAAATCGGGTAAGATAGTTTGTGTAAGTTATTTTGTGGGAATATGTAAGATGTGGGAACATAAGATATTTTGTTGGAATATATTGCAAATTATATTTCTCTCTTATTTTCGACCTGGAAAAGGTTGTTTTAACCAAGAGGAAGAGAGTAGTTACAAGAATTCAGGCTGCTGTTCAGTCAGATTGCCAGAGATGCGCTTTCAGAACATAATACAATAAGCTTGTGTTGCATGGTGATGGAGAGTTTATGTGAATTCTTAAAACTTCGTGGGTGCATTTTTTACAGAACTGTTGGCAGTGTAGTGTTAATTATTTAGACGAGTTGCTACAAGCTCTGAAGTATTCTGACTTACATAATTCAGTTCCCTGAAAATAATGTAAACAAATGCATTTATCAGGGAAAGACAGGTGTTCAGTTAATAAATAATGCAGATCATAAATATCACTCTCACATTCTTCCTTACCCTGTGCTCATTACCACTGATGGAACATACACAGGTTCTGCGGGGCAGATGTTTTATTGTCACGTTTGTCAGCAAAATAGTCTGCCTTTTATTCTTTGTATGTATATATCCTTGAAACCAGTAAGGTGGAGTATTCCCAAAATGAAATTCATAGCTACATAGCATCAAATATGCAAAGCAAATGTTCTTTTTTAGACCTTTTTTAGCATGTAATGGGCTTGCTTTCTCACCTTTTAAGGCAAGGGTGTCATGCTGGTCTTTTACAGGTTCTGCGTGCTGGAGCAACTCAGCGCCCGCTTACTCCCAATCAGGGTCAGCAAGGGCAGCAGGCAGAGTCACTTGCAGCAGCTGCAGCAGCCAATCCAGCTTTGGCTTTTGGTCAGGGTCTCGCTACAGGCATGCCAGGTATGTATGTTATTGCTGGATTCAATGCATCACTGGAAATTGAAATACTGGTGTTAGTAGATACCACATTAATTCTCAAAAGTCCTGCTATGTTTATGATAAGCTGCTTAGAGTTAAGTTGTATGTCATTTCATGTTGTTCAGTTGGATTAAAATGCTGGCACGGGATTCTTAGAGCACAAGAAATTCCTCTAATTCTTGTTAGGGAACTTTTTTGCTGTATTTGTTCTTACAGAGGTATGCCTACAAGTATTGTAGATTTGTGCAGGCTAATTTCATACATAAAAAAGCAACTACGTGCTCTCTTAAAAGGTCATGAATTGGCTGAATGGTTACTTTGCAACAGGAAGTATTTCTGTAGTAATTTTTTACTTGTGGCATATAATAAAATCTGAAGTTCAGAATCTGAAATCAGGAAATTTAAAAGAAAATTACTGCATGATCACCTGTGAAGATCACAGCATGCTCGAAGGAGAAGCACTCCAAAGCTTGGAGCCTCAGATCATTTTAGCATGCATGGCTTCTGACTTATTCAGGGTACGTGTGTCATGAATGCCCAATTTGTTAGCTTGAAGTTCAGTATCACTTTCAAGTGTTTGGTACAATTACCTGAACAAGAACACTTTAAATATACTTGGCCATTTTTCACTAGGAAAGTAAGATTTTACATAGTTGAGTTAGGTGGCGTCGATGGTAGCTGCAAATGCATTTGATTTGTACAAGTTCTCTCTTCTGTCAGCACTGCTGTGAAATGCCTCACAACCTTCAGCAGTCACAGTTTGTCGCTGGATGCTCTGGGACTACATTGTGCACTTTGCCTCACACAATCAGATTTTACATCTCCAGCTGCAGAACAGACTTGACTGCCTCTTGTCTTATTCTCATGCAGTAGTATCTTCAGCTTTTAACATCTTTCTCTTTCACATAAAATGAGGAATCAGCAAAGTGTGCTGTCACAGCACCTGTCAAGTGGTATCTGCACCTTACCAAAGCAGTTGAGAAGGCCTGCAAACAGTGAGGCTGACAGATTTTATAAGCGTCTTTGCAAGAGCCTCAAAGGTTTAGCTATACCTTTTCTTTTGGGTGTGTGTCTGTTTATAGTTACTTACTAATTCTTGCTCTAAGACTGTAGAGTGGTCCATGCCTTGTAAAAAGCCTGTGACATTTAGTTTGAGTCAGACCAACACCTGAGACCTTGACCCAGCCTAAATTTGTGACTTCATTATGGGAAGACCTAAAGAAGTGTTACTTTCAAAAGGAAAGTGTCTATCTTAAGGGTAGTTCTTCAGACCCACAAAAAGGCCCCCTCTCCAAATGGATGATTGAAAGTAATACTGAGCAGTCAGATACGTGAACTTGGTGTTTCGAACGCCTGTCCTGTGGAGATTGGAGTTGAAGGCTTTTTTTCCTCCTCCACAAGTCCCAGAAGGGTTTCTGTGAGGTCAGGAACCTTCTTACTCAGTTTCCATTGTTGTTTGCTTCTTTGTCCCATCTGCTGTATACCTGGATGGCCAGAGGAAAACTTGATTGATGTGAACGTATTTCAGACCGTTCTACAATGGAATTGTGTGCAACTGGCTTTCAACCTTACTGACCGCTCCCGGGAATGGGGCTCAAAACATAAACAAAAAGGAGATTTATTTTCTCAGTCGTCAGAAGCTGGTTTTATAGTGAGTCATGGGGAAGGCTGGTGATTCCTCTTTTTATGTGAGGGCTATAAGATGATAGGAATACAAGCCATGTTAGATGGGAATCATGATACTGGTTCAGACATCTGTATTTGAGCTAGATACTTAAGGCTCCCTTTATAGCTCCTGAAGAGAAATGGGAACTTTTAGTCTTGATTCATCTGGCTTTGTCCTAAATTAGATAACTAAAATAAAGTGAGGTTTACTCCAAAAGTGCCTTTCTGTTCACTTAATATAAAATTGAGTCATGATCATTGAATCACATCTAGATACCAAAATGTGATTAAGTGAATCCTAGGTATTAAGCACTGAACAACACACAACATAACCATAAAATGTGGGGAATTCTTCTTTCAGTAGACTTAGATCTTTTACAAGAAAGTGTAGGTCCAAATTGTGTTTCAAGCTTTTGAATATTATTTACAGAGAGAATATTTGTATTTGGCTTCACTGCAAGCCAATAAATGAGAGAGTATATTATTCAGCGCATCCATACCGCTATCTGTAAATCATTTCAGTTGCTTTCTCCTTCCCACAGCTTTCATGTTGGGTGAAATTAATGAGTTTATCCCAACGATGGGGTCTTGTTTTTCCAATTCGATATGTCAAGTAGTAATTATTTAGGGAGGTGTATTCATGTAGCACTTCAAACACTATGCTGCTTTTAGTCAGGACAGTTAATTTTTTTCACTGGTATGAGGCTATGGTTTTGGATTTGCCCTGAGAATATTACTGGTAAAGTGGGGTTGTTTTTAGTTGGTGCTGGGGAGTGCTTGCACTACTTCAGGGACTTTCTCAGCTTCTGATACTGCAGCTGTGTTCCTAGCTTTCTCACTGCAAGCAGTGTGGGTGGACACACAGTTCAGACAGCTGACCCAAACTAACCAAATGAGTGCTTCATTCCATAGCACATCATGCTCAGTGGGGAGTGGGCCAAGGAGTCATAGCTCCTTTGCTAGCTCACTTGTTAGCTCGTTAATTTTCTTGTCTGTTAGTGAGTTAGTGGGTCAATTGTCTGTCTTGGTTGTGTGATCACTTGTGGGGCTCGCTCGGACTCTGCTCTTCTCTTGGGCGCTCTGGCTCTGACTCTCACTACTGGGGACGTAGCTGTGTATCAGTTGGCAGGTGGTGAGCAATTGTATCATGGTTTATTTTCTATTATTTTAATTGCTTAGTATAGTGGTGTTATTAGCATTACTATAATATTCATTTATATTCAATTATTAAATTATTCTTATCTCAATCCAAGAGTTCCCTTGTCTTTTCCTCCAATTCCCTTCCTCCATTGGAGGAGGGGGGAGGTGAGTGAGTGGCTGCGTGGTTAATTGCTAGCTGAGGTTAAACCATGACAGGCACATCTCTCATACCAAGTGCAAAGAAAAAGTGTGTGAAATCTAGTTACTTTTCACATAATGTTTTTAAGTCACTTCTCATAAAAATTCAGGGTCTCTTTTAAAACAGTCAAAAGTGAAATGCCTTTTGCCTTGGAGTTGTGCAATTACATTTTAAATTCTTCTAATCCTAATTTAGCAAGTCTTTCAGTAACAAGAATTCTTAAAAAACAGATGGCTTCTGATTGCTAAATGTGCAAGACCAAGTCAGAAGGTACTCCCAATTTCATCGTAAAATGATCAGTATAGATTCATTTCTGTGAATAAAACCAGTCCTCATCACAGACAGCGGTTGGACACTCGGCTCAGTCATCCAAATTCAGGAATTTGCATGTGACCTCAGTTGTCTAAGGAGCCATTGTGCTTAGTGGAGACCTCCATAGTGCAGTTGCTGTGCTGAGGCTGCAGAGCTCCTCAGCTTACCCTAAAATAGATGTCTGCTGATGGGTCAGCCACATCCCTCCACAGGCTCCACTGACTGTATTAGCGAGATCAGATGCAACTTAGCTTTATTGGATTCATACAAGCGAAGCTGTTAGCGCTGCCTCTGGTGGTGTCTAGCATGCAGGTGGGCAGGTAAATTAGGCTGTCTGAAAAACATGTATCAGACATTAAAATCAACAATTTCTGTCTATAGGCGTTGCATTTTTTTTATTGCCTAGAGGAATTTGAAATGTGACATTGCAGTGGGTCGTGCATTCTGTGCCTTCAGGTAGTATGAAATAGAAGTCAAATTAAACTGTGGCAGACATAAAGGGAATTGCAGTATTGACAAAGTTAGAATAGTTCCAGAAAATGTCAGTCTTTTTTACTGGAAGGACAGTGTGTTCTGAACTTGATTTCTGAGGGGACAAATGTGGACATAAGGCTATGCATATATTAGAACAAATAAAAGGTTACAGTGGTTCAGGCTTTGGTGAGCTTGGGACACTGAAGTGAAGACTGCAGCATTTGATAGAATCATGGGAAAGTTTGGGTTGGAAGGGACCTTAAAGATCATCTAGTTCCAACACCCCTGCCATGGGCAGGGACACCTTCCACTAGACCAGGTTGCTCAAAGCCTCATCCAGCCTGGCCTTGAACACTTCCAGGGATGGGGCATCCACAGCTGCTCTGGGCAACCTGTTCCAGTGCCTCACCACCCTCTCCGGGAAGAACTTCTTCCTGACATCTAATCTACCCCTCCCTGCTTTCAATTTAAACCCGTTACCCCTTGTCCTGTCACTACAGGCCCTTGTAAAAAGTCCCCCCCAGCTTTCTTGTAGCCCCTTCAGGTACTGCAAGGCTGCAATAAGGTCTCCCCAGAGCCTTCTCTTCTCCAGGCTGAACAAGCCCAACTCTCTCAGCCTGTCCCCATACAAGAGGTGCTCCAGCCCTCTGAGCATCTTTGTAGCCTCTTCTGGACTTGTTCAAGCTGATCAATATCCTTCTGATGTTGAGGGCTCCACAGCTGGATGCAGAACTGCAGGTGGGGGTCTCACAAGAGCAGAGTAGAGGGAGAGAATCCCCTCCCTCGACCTGCTGGCCATGCTTCTCTGAATACAGCCCAGGATATGGCTGGCTTTCTGGTCTGCAGGCACACATTGCTAGGTCATGTTGAGCTGCTAATCAGCCAACACCCTCAAGTCCTTCTCCTCTGGGCTTCTGTAATTAGTTAAAACGTAATTGCACAACTTCAGTTCTTTTCTGCCCAGCCTGTACTTGTGCTTGGGATTGCCCTGTCCCAGGTGCAGGACCTTGCACTTGACCTTGTTGAACTCCATGAGGTTGGCAGAGGCCCACCTCTCCAGCCTGTCCAGGTCCCTCTAAGATGGAAGATTAAGAGCTGAATAAATTTTCAAATCTGTATGCAGAGGAAAATAGTTGGATCTTGGGAATGTTGAGAAGTTAGAAGCTGTAAATTTTCTACATAGGTAGAAATGACTCCACAGTGACTTGCAGGTTGTGCTCCTGAGTGAGAAGAGAGTGAGGTGTCAGGATGGTGCTGCCTAAAGGGACAGATAACAGAGTTGGCAGTAAGAAGTGTCAACATCTGTTAGATTTAATTGAGTAGAGAGAAGTGGCAAACTGACATACGTTTGGGTGTCATCAGTGAGGGAAGTTGCATAGAGGGAAGGGAGTAGGAGATCTGGGCAGAGCTTTATGATATTACATACAAAAATGTGAGAAGAGTGTGAAGTTTCCAGTGAAAGACACTGACGAAATTACTGTATGGATAAGAGCAACACTAATAATGGACTGTATGAGCCAGGAGAACAGATTTCCTTTCATTCTCTCATTCTTTGGGAACATTTATGGTTTGTGTGTAAAAATCCAGAAAGTTTTCTGTCTGTGGTTTTGGAGACTTGTAGAAATCACTTCAGTAAAGCCACAGTACTGCTAAACCAGATTGTTTACTCTTCTATTCCCTGCTGATCTGGAGACAGTGACTGCAGATAGAGCAGTTGAATTCTAAAATAAAAGGTGTAATTAGAAAGCAGAGAGCATGGTTTTGGTTTTTTGGTTGTGGTGGAAGAGCAGAGTAAGCTTGAATGTGAAGGCACTGACTTGAGCTTTGGTAATTGGTAATTTGGAGGGGAAATTGCACAGCCATGGGGAGATGACGACGTGGTGGAGAGGTAATAAAAACTGAAACAGGAGGAGAGAAGGGAGTTAGGAGAAGATCTGGCAAGTCATCATGTTATCCTCGGTGAGAGAGAAGGCTGGAAAATAGTTTTTATCTTTGTGGTCACCTTTCTGGGGTGGGGTGCAGTTTGTAGAATACAGTGAAGGAAGGGAAAGTAGACTTCATTTTGCTGCGAGAGCTGTTCTTCAGTTATTGAATCTGGACTGAGATGGTCTCTCTGAAACTGAATTTGTCATGTCAAAGCAAATAATTTTATACCCTTGAGGCTGCAGGTGCACTTAGCAAGGTCTCAGTGATTTCACAAATAGTCCTACATTGCTTTATTTTAGTAGGTTTGAGTAGAAAGCTGAGAGGCTTCCTATTCCGGGTCAGAACGTATTATTTCAGAGATAGGAACGTAGAAGCGCTCATCAGTTCTCATGCATAGCTTAAAACTTCTGTGATGGGATGGTATGTTGATGATAATGACCTGGCTTCTTATTACTGATTTTAAATGACCTGTTTGCGGGTGGCATCATGAATAAGATAATGGCGAGGAGGTATCAAGAGAAACTGAGCATTTTGTAATGCAGAGAGCAAGTGCAACTTGCTTCTGTTTTTTAATTCAGCATACTAGTAAATTATTTTAGAAAATCTAGAATTAATTTATTAAACTGCATTGGTATTAATCCCAGTAAATTTAATTTATGCAGTACTGTGTAAGTTACCTTTTTGGGGTGTTTTTTCTCCCCAAGTGTTTGCATTGCGAAATGGCCTTGTTTACATTGTGGGCCTGAAGTCATAAAAGGCTTTGTAGTAGCTTCAGATGAACATCAGTTCATCGTTTTTATACAGCTATAGCATTATCCTTGGGTTTGAATGTAAGTATTAACTAATTCTGAGTTCTGAAGAAGTGGGTTTACATGATACAGCAGAGGCAGATACAGGACCAACGTGGCATTATCAGTTGGAATATGCTATAAGTAAAAGTAGAAATTATGTCGGTACTAGTAATTAAACATTACTAATAGTTGTGGTAATATAAAAAGCTTTCCTACTGTGCCACTAATCTTTAAATATTCTGTGCTGTTTTCTCTACAGAACTACTATAAAACAGGCAGCAGTGGCTCTTGCCTTTCCCTGCCTTGGGAACGTAACAGTCTGTCTTAGTGGCGAAGCTGGTAGAGCAGCACAGCACGGTATTGTAGGCGAAAGAGACAGTGGCACCTATAGTGAAGGTTTCCTAACTAATTCAATTGTAAGAACCAGTTTTGTTTGTTTTTAACTAGCTAAACTTTCCAACAAATGCCATGGAGGACAACGGTCTTCCTGTGCTCTTGGTGGGAAAGAGAAGGGAGATGTGCCTGGAATGCAGAACAAGTAACAAGCAGTGAGAATAAACACACTTGTAATGATAATGACAAGTTTTCATAACCAGTACAGTGCATTCATCTCCAGAACCATGAATTGGATCTAAAGATCTGGATTTTCATCACTCCTCTCCTGTTCAGTTACTGAGTCTCCTTCATATCTTCTTTTCTTCTTGAGAGACATTCTAGACCTGTGCCTCCAGCTTCCCTACAGAACACTGTAACCACCAGGCCAGTAGGCCACTGGTGTTTCCAGCTCTGGATTTTGGAACAAGGCACCTAGGCATAAGAGATTACATATGTGTTTTAGGAATTGAGGAGGAGAAAATAGGGCTTGGAAGCCTGATGGTTGAGGTACTCACCTGCACTTAGAGGCCCAGGTCTTTGAAATACATGTGAACCTGAACACAGAGAAGTCTGCCAGACCTAGTTCTCAACATTCTTGGAAACAGTCTTAAAATAGTATGCAGAATCTTGGTTCTTACATGTACAAAAATAGATGTGTGATTTTTCTTTTTTTTTTTCAATCTTGGCTTTTTCTTAATAGCATTAGTCTATATTTGAACATGGGAGGAATACCAGTTACCTTCGACTTGTTTTATTGCTTTATGAGATTAGTCGACCTAAAAATTAGATGCTGTTACCTCTTCATTATCAGTTACCTTTCTTAGATTATCATAGCTTTTGTCTTCCTTTGTTTTAGGGATTCTTATTCCAGTTCTTCTACTTTGTTACAAAATGTCAGAGCCATAGAATGAATTTTCTTGCTCTTGTCCTAAATAAGGGGGTTTTGTTTTTCTCTTTTCTCTCTTGCTTTCCTTCATTCATATCTTGTATCCTGTTTTCCTTCCTACTTCTTGCTTTTCTCCTCCTTTCAATTCCTCCTCCTTTTTCTTCCCCAGTTCCAACTCTTGTCAACTGAATGAAATTATCCTTGGATGACAGTATTTTTTTTTCTGTGAAACTGACTGCTCCAAGCTATTCCTGCACACAGAGCATTCTTTTCCTAATGTGTTGTTGTAGATGGACTTTTACGTGTGGCTAGGTAATGCGTGGAATTACCAAACTTGGCTTTTAGTTCAGCCTTTAAATTGTACAGATCTCGATACCTTTTCCATGTATGAAGTAGTACAGGAGAAATGTAGAATATTTTAAATTGCTAAAAGAAGTTGATTTGCTAATGATGCAAATACGGCCAAGTATGTTGTCCCTGTACCTTTTGCCTATGGTGTTAGCAACTTTAACCTTGAAAATAAAATTCAGCTTTAGATGACTAAATTCAGCTGTTCTGGTTAATCAAATTATGTAGAGCATTCCTAACTAAGATTCTGTCACGGTTTTACATTGTTCACTGTTTTCTCTTTTGATGTCCAGTTCGTATTCTAAGGCAATATGGCAGAAATGCTGTTTTCCCCCTTGTGGTTTGGTGTCAGAATATTTCCAGGAGAGAAGAACTGCTGACTGTATGAGACTGTCTTGTCTGATGCTAACTCTTGTGTTCTGTGTTGTGTAGGCTATCAGGTACTAGCTCCCACTGCCTATTACGATCAGACTGGTGCCTTAGTGGTAGGCCCTGGAGCAAGAACTGGCCTTGGTGCACCAGTGAGGTTGGTGGCCTCAACTCCTGTTATAATCAGTTCTGCAGCAGCACAGGCAGGTAAGTATTTGATCCTGTGTGGAGTTTTCTTCCACTCTTGTACTGGATCTTAGCAGTGCTGTTGGTTATTAGTATCTGATATTGTTGATGCGTTTTGTATGCATCTACGAAGTTTTCTAGTTGTGAAGGATATACCATATATGCTCTCTTTCTTATTCTGTTGCCACCCTTTCTCTGGGATGCTGCTGTTTCTCAGAGAGATGGTTTTCCTTTTTTAACTCAAATTTACAGTCCTCTCCCCATGCATACACAGGCATGTTTCTGCAAATGTTGTTGCTTGCCAGATACAAACATTTCCCCTTGTCCTCTCCCCATGCATATAACACGCACTTCTCATCAATCCCCTAAATGGTGTCCTCTGGGAAGCATCATTTCATTGCTTCGGCCTGGCAGAAGATGATGGAGTGCTTTGGGGCCTTGCTATGCTTTTCTCCTGAAAAGTGTGGCAAGGAAAAAAAACCTATAGAATGGACAGCAGAAGAGGAGAATTAGTTCTGTCAGAAGTCTCTATTTTTCTTTTTCTCATCAGTGACATGGTCTGGTACTACTTTACTGAACCATTGTATTTGTTGCATTTGTTAAATTAAAATCCAAAATGCTAACACCAGATTAATCTGTTCAGAAAATCACATTTGAAGTTAAGCTATAAATTGCTTTCTCTGTGCAGAACTCGCTTCTGACATTAGTAGCTGAAGATGTCTTTGAATGACTCTTAGCTGCAACTCTGGATATAAAAGTACAGTTCAGTAAACAGTAATGTCTTGTATGTTACACTGGAAATTCCCTCAATTGCATTAACAGTTCTACAGCCTTGATTAGCCTACAACATATGCTGTCTTCATTTTTTTCCTTGGGTAATTAAGACTCTGTAATACTCTAAAATCTCATTCAGCCCTTTAATATGTGAATTTCTGCTTATTTAAGTGGGCCTTGAGAAAATAGTCCATTTTGAGTCAGAAATGTTTGAGACAGTAATTATGATTGAAAACCATGTGTTTTACAGCTGCAGCTGCTTCAGCTGGAGGAACAGCAAACAATCTCGCGGGAGCCACGAACGGTCTATTTCGGCCACTTGGTGCCCAGCCACAACAACAGCAACAACAAACAAATAGTAGCCTACAATCCAATTCATTTTATGGCAGTAACTCTTTGACCAATAACTCCCAGAGCAGTTCCCTTTTTTCCCATGGTCCTGGCCAACCAGGAAGCACATCTCTTGGCTTTGGAAGTAGCAGCTCTTTAGGAGCAGCTATCGGCTCTGCACTTGGTGGATTTGGCTCATCAGGTAGGTTATTAATATAGTGAGGAAATTCTGTGAGACGTTTATGTTAAGCGACAAAATGTATCTGCATCAGACATATTATATACACATACATTTCTAAAAAGAATGCAAAAATAGGTCATTCACGTTTAAAACAAATTATAGGGGAAGAAAAAGGGTTTTTTAAATTCACTTGGGGTCTGTATACAAGATGCATATTTGAAGAATATTCTGTAGTCATAGATATCTCCAAAATACTTTTCCATATTGAGCAGTGTACTCTGCCCCTGAAGTTTGGGTTTAGTAAACTTTTTTGGTTTTGAGGAAATCTTCTGCGTTTAAAATAACAATTGATGACTTTTGAGATGCATTCTTTTGTTGTAGTTTTCATGTAAAGAAAATTCCTAAATAAAAAAAAATTAAATAGCGCATGGCTTTCTAAATTTGATCTAATATTGAAGTGTTTGTTTCCATAACATCTTTATGAGGATTTATAGAATGGAAAGACTTAATGCCCAAGAATAGTCCTTGTTAACCTCAGTGGGTTTAATCTTAGATAGATTTAGATAGGTTTAATCTTAGAAGCATAAATAGTTCTGTGCAGGTTTGGGGCCTTTAAATTATTTCAATAGATGATCCTAAATGTTATCAACCTATTTGTATTTAAAAATAAGATTAAAAAAAAAGAAGAAAAATTAATGTTGCCATCAGTTCTCTGCTGTGTGGCAGAAATACTATTCTCAGTTTTTAAACATGTAAGGTAGGTTTTCTTCTATTTCAGATTCAGTATTAGCAAGGGAAGTGAAATATCTTTACTAAAGAATATTTCCTTTGACTATTAATCTCCAGGTTACAGCACTGAATTGCTTATTATTATAATATTTTAATTATAAGCACGCTCCACTGATTTAATCTTACATGTCTTGCAGATGGCTAAAAGTTGGAGGAAACTTAGGTACTCTAGCAGTATTCTTCTCAAAGTTAAACATGCCAAGGGAAATAATAAAAGACTGAAAAAAAATTTTGAAGGAGAGATTATTACAAGATAGCTTAATATGTAGGAAAAAAAAAAGGAAAATCATGTCTTTCAGTGTTCTAGCATGATTTGGTAATTAAGAGGAGGTGAATGGTGACATCAAACATACTGAATACCAGCACAGATTTTCTCAGTGTTGTTTTCCAAAAAATAATCTGAAAAATGATTTACTTTAATGCTAGGAAATCCAGAATAAAGTTCTACACTGATCCTCTCTAATACCTGTTTTTAAAGAGTGGAGTAGGAGGCTAAACATAACCATCTTAAATAAAATGTAGCGTGTAGTCAGTCAGTCACATAGTTTGTTAATTTTCCATAATACCACAGCAGGTAAAATCTTATTTGCAGAGTAACTGTGCTATCCAAGTGCTGTATTTGGTAATATAATTTGTGCTGAGCTACTAGTAGCATTTCATAGAATTTGTAGCGGCTGTGTTTCACTCTAGGTACAGTTTCATTTCATTGATAATGATAATGAGCATAATTATATCTCCATATTTAATGCAATGCACCCATTTAAGTCTAGATAGAGTAGTTTTAGGTCATAAAAGTCTTTATCCAGCATTATAACCAGGACCTCCATAGAATACAAATTTTGTTTCTGTATCTACTTAAGAAGAATCAGCGAAGTTCTTTCTGGCACAGGAATTAAAGCCTTTTTCCTGTAGCAAAGGTCAGTTCCAGAGCTTTATCCAAAGCATAGACAGCATACGCTGAAATTTTCCAGCAGTATCCTAGGTGATTTAATTAGGGTGGTAGTTTCCAGAGGGAAGCAGGAAGCCTATGCTTTTGCAGTTTGAGAAGTGCTGATGAAAGGTGCTACCCAAACCTAAAATATTTTTAGTAGTATTATTGGAATAAAAGTATATTGAAAGTGCCCGTCTGCCAAGTATAAGTTGTACTTGCCATAGCAGCCACTTAAAGAAATGCTTCCTGGTATCTTTTCTTAAAAAGAGTTCCTGAGCTGTGTGCATATGAATTGAGTTACACAGATAAGTACTTACACAAATGGTGTTAATGCATGTTGAGGCAAATTTAAAAACAAGTTGAATTTTTTTATTTGCCAAAGTTTCAGCTTTGTAATTTCCCTTAGTGTGTTCTAAAGGTTGAATTTCACTTCAGGTGTAGCCAGGAAGAGTGACAGATGACAATACAGATATTGCCATTATGTTTTCAGTTGTTGCAGGGGGAAAAAAATAGCTCTGCAAAAAATGCAAAGATGAGCATGTTTAGCTGAATGACTGAACAATAATGTAAAAAACAGGAAGAGGCAAGCATACCATATAAGTGGCTGTACGTCCTTTACAGTCTCTGCTTTCTTATTATCAGGTTACTCATACTGTGTTTTAAAGGTTTAGGTGCATGGTAAGTTACTGCAGCTTAACAAGTAACTAAGAATTAGATCAACTAGGACAGTTTTCCAGGTAGGTGCCTACCGCTGGCTTGTCACGAGTGAAGTTACACAGTGGTGAAGAGGGGCAATTCAATTTACCTTCTGGGTTTTGTGAACTTTGCATGTGCGTGTGTGAAAACGCAGCTCGGCTGGTTCACGGTAACTTGTTAAGCTGCAGTAATTTAGCTGAGTAAGAAACCCTGAAAGAAAGCTGAAGTTTTACGTGGCTTTTTTCATGGTTGGAAAAATAACAATCTGTCATACAGCATTGTATGGACAGTCGCAGGGTTCACCCGCTGAGCCACAACCTGTAGAGCTAGTCTCAAATCTCGAGATTTCTTTCAACTGTTTTAATTTGCTCTTCTGGTTTCTTATTCTCCACCTCCTTGCCTAGTTAGTCCAGTATCTTTTCCTTCTGGCTTCTCCTCTAGTATGTCTGCTGTCCCAGTTTCCGGGCAACATTTGTCTCTCGCTTCCCCTCCCTCTCCCAAATACATTTTTGCTTGTACTGTGTCATCATCAGCCTACTATTCCAGTCTTTTTGCCCCACAGTCACATACACCTTCTATAGCTTAACTTCTCTTCAGATCTCCTTTCCTTTCATCCTCACTCTCACTGATTTTGAAAGTGCTTGCCAGTTTTCTCGCAGTCTCCTTGTTGGCTCCTTTGTCTGACCTTTCTCTCCTCCTGGTTCTGGTTTTTCTCCTGCCCCCACCTCCCTTCCCCACATTTTCCCTGGTCTATTTCTTGTGTTTGGCTTTTGTCTCCTCTGCATTTGAAGCAAAAACTTCCTTTCCACACTGCCTGAAGGGCCTTCTGAGCACAAGGTGGGATCTTGGACAGCACTTTCAGAGTCCATTTTTGCCATGGCACACAGAAGCCTGGAAGTTGAATTGCAGGGAAAACCCCCATCAGTCATCTCGTATGTGCCATGTATGGACAGGAGTTTTCAGCTATGAGTCTGTAGCAGATCTCTGCTGAACTTGTATGAACTGTGATTTTGCAAAGATTTTTAGCCTAATCAAAGACAGCACTGAAAAGGAGTGTCTCCTGTTGCTAGCACATTCGTCTGAGTACATGAAAGCATTAACTTCTCAATAATAGCTGGATTATTTTGCTAAGGATAAGGCATCTTTCCTTGCCTGTTTATTTTGAAATGGCAGTGTTGTTTGGGTAGAACTTCATTGAAAAATTTGGTCCAAGCAGGTACCTGCCATGAAGAGTATTAGCCATGTTACTAACGATAGGAGGAAAGAAATTAGTGTCTTACAATGAGAAGTGTCAGGCGGCTGTGAGGGTGGTCAGCTTTAGTAGGAAGGTGCCTGACAGAGGTAAAGATTATGGAAGTATAAATTGACCTTTTCCTTTTTAAGTTGAAGTAGAAATCAATTTTCCAAATTCACCTTAAGAAGCATCTTTTTGTTATCAAAATATCCATGATCTTGGTTTTGTTCATGAGTATAATAATGCTCCAGCAAAAATAGCCACTCTAATATTTTGCTAGTATGCAACAGATACTAGACTTTAACATTTCTAAAAACTTGTTATTGTTCTCCTAATTTGTCCTAGACCGTCCATCGCCCTGCTGAATGCTGCTGTGCAGGATAACCAGTCCTTCACTAACACACTCTTACCCCAAGCTTCATGTCTCATTTGACTTTCAGAAATATTGGTAGCAGTAAAATTACATTTTTATTTTCTTGCCTTAATTTTCCTATCCCTGCTCTGCTTCTCATCTTCTTCTTAGCCTATTCCTCCTTTATAATATCTCTTTCAAAACACTTCTTTGAGAACCATAATTCTGGTAGGGAATTTTAGGTACTCATTTTTTTTCCTACAGGTGAGGGGTTCAGAAACAGCTGAACAGCAACATAATTTCCTGAACCCCATAAACAACAACAACAACTGGTTGTCTCTAGCCTTTTTCCTGAAATCAAGTGTCACTGCCTGACTAATAATTTACGGTGGGAAACAATGATCAAAGAGTTTAGTGGAAATATTTTTAGAATAATTTGTTCTGTAAAGTGACAGTGTAATCTAATCTCAAATTCCATAATTGTCCCAAAGCCTGAAACCAGGCGGTTAAAACAGAGTACTGCAATATTGCTGTGAGAGTCTGGAGTGAAATGTTGAAAGATGTGGGCATTGGTGGAATTACTTATCAGTGGTATGTTTATACCCACTTAGATTTACTTAAAAGCATGTGTGGTTATCACAGTAATTGTCTTTGTCGTAACGATTGCTGTAATTATTGTGATCGCATCTGTTGTTGCCCAGCTGTAGTTGGGGATAGGTTTTATTCAGTTGACACTGTGTAATTAGGGTCTTTTTATTTCTTCTTCAGTTGGCAGTTCTGCAAGTAGTAGTGCCACAAGGAGAGATTCTCTATCTACTAGCTCTGACTTGTACAAAAGATCTAGTAGCAGCCTAGCACCCATAGGGCAGCCATTTTACAATAGTCTGGGATTTTCCTCCTCTCCAAGTCCAATAGGCATGCCTCTGCCAAGCCAAACGCCAGGACATTCACTTACGCCACCGCCATCACTTTCATCACATGGATCCTCATCCAGTTTGCATTTAGGTAAAAAACAAAACAAAAACAAAAAACCAAAAAAACCACTTTTTGTTTGTATGTGTGTATGTATTTCTGTGTGTAAAATATATGTTGCATAAGAGATGTCACATTACCTTTGCTGTTATAAACAGTTCTGTAATGAAGAGGGGCCGTTCCTGAAGGGTGGAGAGCACGCTCAAATGCTCATTGATTTGACAGTGGAGGGCACTCAGCTTTTTGCAGTATCGGGCCCAAACGTGATTTCTCTTCCCTTGCAGAAGCCTGATAGAGAGCCCAGTAAGATTTATTGGTCCTTTGTGTGTTGTGTTTCTGCAGTATGACAAGCAAAGGTGCCTTTTTTTGTTTTTTTCCTACTTCAGTGTATTACCACTTTGAGGTCATTTTATGATTCTACTGTGTTTAGCAGTGAAGTGACTTTCACTGCTGCCCCTTACCATGATAAAGGAGATAAGGGAGCAAAGCTCTCAATGTAAAATGTATTGAAAGGTGATTTTTGAAGCAGTGAGCCTATGACCTCATGGCCCAGAGGCTTTGCCAGGAAGAGGATAGTTTATCACTAGGTTGGTGGGGAAAAAAAAAAAAAGAAAATGCACTTGTGAAAAAAGTAGCAAAGGCTTTGTCAGTGGTTGCTCTGTTATTGAATGTATAATTTAAGGAATGATGATAGTCTTTTAGAAAACTCCGGAGCTAGTTAGATGACATGGGAGCTCAACCTTTTTTTTTTTTAAGAAAAAAAACCATTAAAATTAAATTTAAAAAATCTAAAGTAACCCCACCACAGCCTACAGTATATTTAGAAGAGAACACCTCTAACCTGAGGTTTCTTGATAAACTTTCCCTTTTGCTGCTGCAAATGCTTGGGGGCATTTAATTTGGATGCTAAAAATCATGCAATAAACCTGCATTTAACTTCAAAATTGAGTTGCCTGTTGCTCCAGTAACTACTTAGTGCAGTTTTATGCACATGATGGACAACCTGTACTTCTGTTAGTGCAAATAAAGCAGGAAAAAGCTGTAAAAGTGCCTAGCAAAAGAGGCTTTTTAGGAATGTGTGAGTGATCTGTCTAGCGAAGTTGAAAAGTAATACCAGTATCTCACATTTACAGTTCAGTATTCCCTTCACGGTTAAGTGCTGAATACCCAAAGTAAAACTGGGCAAGGGGATGTTTCAGCACGCTTTATTTTTTTTTACTTACCTTTTTTCCTTTTTCAGGTCTACAAAGTGCACCTTTGGGCTGAGACCAAGCATGGAAAGTTTCAGCCCAAATGGAGGCTTTTGAGAAAAGTTCTGAACATCTGACAATGGGGTTATCATGGAAATCTTTTTCTTTCTTTCTTTTCAAAGTACTCTCACGATAGTTTTCATATTGCTGAAAACTATACTTAAAACCAAATTTTGGAAGGCATTATCTAAAATTCAAAACATTTGTGGCGTTTCACGTTCGATAATCGTTAAAATCCTTTTTTCAATTTTGAGAACATGAGCTGCAATCAGTATAGAGGATTAGCTCTGTCCACAGAAATGGTTAAATCCTGGTTTTAATCCACTTCGGGCTGTTTGACAGTGTGAATTAAGCATAACAGTTTGTTAAAATCATGTACTAGATCAGTGTGTAAAGGCCAGAATGTACAGTTGTACTCTGAAAACTGACACAACCTCAATGGCTTCCATGTGTACTGTTCATCTTCCAGATGAAATGGGCTTTGACTACGGGTAAAATTTTTGCTACCTCACCGTACCAATCTGAAATCTGAAAATTGAGGGCTTCTGGATTTTTTGCTTTTACAAAATTGCAAGTAGATTTTTTTTTTTACCATTTCCTGTGCCCTGTCCTGTCTTTGCGCAGTTACATCCAAGGTGCGCCATCACAAAAAGTTGGGCAATTAATTGTCTGTCCTGTTAAATTTATTCTGGTGTGTTCGTCGACCACCCTGGGAAGCATTTGCTTTGCTTTCACATGGAAAAATAAAAAGGCAGAGCTTTCTCGCCACATGAGAAGCTATAACTGGAATCAGACAGGGCGCGTCTTCTCAGAAGGGTGTGATTGTCACGCAGTCACTTTTCAGAGTAGAACGACGTAAGTTCATGTCTGCATGCACTTTCCTTGATACTCTGATAATGCCTGTCAAATGCAGCTCTCCTTCCACCTACAAAACCTGTCCTGCCTGCTTGTATCAACAGGTTCAGCTGAGTTTTAACACCTGTTTTCCAATGGGCATCGAACTCTGTTGCTCCAGCCACCAGAATACTAGAGCACAATACTGGGAAAGGATGCATGGTTTTATAACCCCTTTGTCAGACACTGCTGCCATTTGTAGCTTAAAAGACCAATTTCCCTTTTACAAGAAATATGTGATATTTTACTGGTTTTATCTCTCCTTGCCAACTCTTACCCAACATCCTAAAATAGGAATGTGCTAATTACTTTGTTGTAGTGGCAGTTTTCCTGTATTTGAAGGGATTTGTCAGTTGCCTGTAACTGCTTCTGTACTGTAATCAGTTGGAGCAGTAAGGTCATGAATTTGAACTACCCTTTCACTCCCAGGGACAAGAAACTGTGAGAGCATGTATTCTTCACAGGTTGTTAAAAAAATCCTTTTAGATTGGTAGTGTTTGCTCTGATGGTACATTGCAGCGTGTTAAGGGTTTGGTGTAGAGTAGGATTTTCAAAATACGGGCAGTTGGAAGTGGTTATTTTGTGTTGCAAGCCAAGCTTGTTAGCAGTTTAGACTGATGTTTTATCTGCAGAAGTGGTGATTCTGGGTAAGAGTACAGGCCCCTTAGCAAGACAGTATGGGGAGCTTGGCCTCTGCTGTCTGCCTACTCTGTAGGGCTTAACCAGGCATAACAGGCACTTGCGCTGATTCGTGAAATACGCATATATATATGCATATATGTGTAATTCTGTCTTCCATATGAAGATGAAATTTTTAGCTGAGGGTGAGATGAAGTTACTTTTTTACAGATGAACAGTAACTTTGTAGAAATGAAGTGTTTCTACACTCGTACCTGTTTTACTAGAAAATAATGCTGTGGACTGATCTAACAGCTACTGTGCAGTAAATCGGTTTTATGTCTTGGGTAGAAACGACTGAGGAAAGGCTTCGGTAATAAGTACTAACAGGCTAATACTATAAATAAATGTGCCTAGATCTAGTTTTTAATATTTTTCTTGTTCTCCTTTACATTAAATATGCTATCCATATTAAAGGAGTTAGTAGTTTAGCATGTGTTGTGTCCTTGAGTCTTAGTAAGGCTCTGGTTTAGATGGTCTGTATCCCATTTATACGTCTGTGCCCCTTCTTACTTACGGGCTAGCCATGGAGATTCAGGTTCAGTTAAACTGCAGAACAATAGTATTCATTGCATCGGGGATCGTTGGTTTGCAAGATCAGAAGTGATAGCTAAATGGTTATCTGGAGAATGAACTGCATGCTTTATTCCCCACTGGTTTGTAATTGTGAGGCTATACAAGGCCTGATAACAGCCTTAAAATGTCAGTGTTTGCAGACATGTTTAGACTTAGGTGCTTTGTTCAGGATGGTATTTTCCCCAATAACTCTTAAGACCTAGGCTGTTACCTTTCTAGCTTGCAATCAGAATCTGTAAAATAAGCGTACTGAGCTCTTGAAGAGCATGGGGATGCCTTAAGCTAACCAGGAGGATTTGGGTGACTAGAACTCAGATTTCAGTTTTCATTTCTAAGCTGTTCACAGTCAAAAGTTTTCAGGAAGGAGACGAGGTGTCCTTAATGTCCACACTAATGCTTTGGTGGTTTTGGACTGAGAAAGTGATGAGTACAACATGAGGACAAGAAATTAGTCCATTGTATACAAGATTATATCTGCATATAATAAGTACCTATGGCAATATGCTTTTATTTTGGGGGGTTTACTATTTTTCAAATCTGCAAAGTTGCCACTGAACTATAACTGCTGCTGTAATGAAAGGTTACATGAAAAGAAAAGCTAATTACCTATTAAATGACTGTTTTTATAATAGCGTCCAGGGTTTTACAAGGTTAAGCTTTGTGTGCTTTTGAAGCATGACAGGTTCATCTAGGCACAATGGGTATGTTTTCAGCCTTCCTGTATTATGGTCCTGCTTAGTGTGATTGTTTTAAGTAGTTTCGCAGGCTATACTGGAGTCTCCCTGTTGGCAGCAAGGTCATTTTACAAGCCTTAAAAAGAGGTGCTTCCCAAATCAGACTGAAGAAAGGCTTGAGAATCCCGAGTGCGAAATGTCTTGTTACATGCAGTTCTACTACACATATATAGCATATTTTGGTGAAAGCTACCAAGTTTCTAAATTTCTGTTCTGATTGCAGGATAAATTGTCACATTTAATTTACACTTACATGAAGGCTCACTTTAAAAAAAAAAAAAAAAGGCTGAAATAATTCCTGATCCACATGTGTAATTCTGTGACGGTGTGTGCTAATTAAAGCCATGCTTGTGAGCATATAATGAAAACTATCCCATTAGTTTCTGACACAGAATTGAGCATGTGATCAGTGGAGCAAGAGAGATCCTGCAGCAGAGAAGAGGCCTGTAAGACTGACTTCCTTTTAACCGGGCTTTGCTGCCCTCCCGTGGCATTAAATAGTCTTACTGCACAGTATTTACAGGGCAGCTAGGATTTCATTCATATATTTAAACAATCGAGATGAGAAATACCATGATTTCGGGTGCATAATTCTTTGTTCTTTAAAAGGCTGTTCCAAGAATAGAAATGACTGTAGGACAAACATTACTCTGCATACTGCTTCACCTGCAGACTGTTGGGTTTCTTTCGGTCTGTTAGGATGTTGCTGTTGACTTTTTTCTGGAAATAGTGATTGTAAATGGAAATTAAAATGATAGTTAAGAAACTTTTTGATTTTTTTTTTCCCTGACCGCAAAGAATTACAAGACTTTAATTTTAAAAGAAAATCTAGTAGTTCTAAAAAGGTATTTTGGGGCATAAAGTATTTGCTTATACGTACCACTGAATTTTGCAAACTAACTGTAAATAAATACTAATTGTTTCTATTTTAGGGCATAATCCTATACAGTACAAAAATGTGATGCTTCATGTGTCTTGCAGAGCACTAAGATCTCGGTTTCTGGTATTGCAGTTTGACCTTTAGAGAAAGGTACTTTGTCATTAATACATTACCAGCCCACTGTAACACTGGTGTTGCCTGGCCTTACACATACTTGGAACCAAAAGAAGGCTTGGCTGGGGCACTGATTTTCCTTTTTATTTTTAAATTGATTTTGTAATAGAGCACCATTCAAACAGCACATACTGCAACTTGTTTTAAAATCAAATGTAGATAATTCTTCTGTTGGCTTTGAAAGGGTTTTCAGTTCCTATGTCACCTTCTAGGTAATTTGTAGGGAACTTCCAATTCATACTCGATCATTTTAGTGCTGGGGTTTTTTTAAGTTGTAGGATTGAGGTTTCTAGGTGGGAATTATCTTTTGAATATTTCTGCTTGTATTCTTTTCAATATCATACCGTACTTGCGAAAGATACTTTGTTTCCATGCTTATTATGATAATTTCTGCCTGTTGTAGAGAGGAGGGGGAGTTCAGCATGATCTGAACTGAGCAGGATGTGAGGAGAAACTCACAGGATGGAGATGATAGCTCTAGGTGGAATCACTAGCAAAAAGGATAGTACCTAAATGTAGGAAGGCAATTTGGTTTTTAGAAAGTTGAGAAAGACAAAGTGCAGCGAGTGTGGTGAGTGTTTTTGTAGCAAGCACAGGACTTCATGTTTCTAATAGGAACTTCAGTTTGATATATCTTTGGTTGGTTGAGAATTAAGTACAGCATTCTTAGTTACTTGTTCTGGAATTTGACATTGTAGTGCTTACAAGAGGTACCAGATTGAAAGCCTGGGGTGGTAAAGTTGTCAGATACCCTTGCAGAACAGGTACAGCATGACAGGAGGCACCATGTGAGCCTCCTCAAAAATACCCTTTCACACTCCTTAAGTTGGAAAGGTAGCTCTGGAGGGACTGAAGGGTAGTTCAGATTTCATGGTCTATTTTGAAACAATTGGCTAACTTCAAGGCTACTAACAAGGGTATAAGTCAGCATTACTGGTGAAGTGGAAATCTTCCCATTAAGCTAAAGTCCACCCAGTTCTAAAGTTTCTGTAAGTCTGGGTGCTCACTTTATTCTTACAATGACATTTCTTTTCCTGGTGCCCTTCACATAAAATAAAAATGAGGAGGAGAATGGTTTTATTTATTGGAAGATAAAGCTATCTAACTCCTCCAACCATAATGAGGTAAATACAAATAACAAGGTGACACTGTTGTTCTCTTTGGCTCCAGGGTGTATCCGTAGTTCTAGTACACTTAATGTTTTGCTGTTGCTTATTTTCCTTATGGCTTTTACTGACAGAACTGCTTCCTTGTAGGAGGACTGACAAATGGTAGTGGTCGCTATATTTCTGCAGCACCAGGAGCTGAAGCAAAGTATCGCAGTGCGGCAAGTACCTCCAGTCTTTTTAGCTCCACCAGTCAGCTCTTCCCTCCTTCACGCCTTCGTTACAGTAGGTCTGATATTATGCCTTCTGGACGTAGTCGATTGCTGGAAGATTTCAGAAACAATCGTTTCCCTAATCTACAACTAAGAGACCTTGTTGGACATATTGTTGAATTTTCCCAAGACCAGCATGGTTCTAGGTAATTACAGTAAAGTTAACAACTTTATCAAAGCAGTAAATGCTGTTTTGTTACATTAACATCAAACATTTGAATGAGCTGTTAGTCATCTTAATACAAAGCGTGCCATTAATTGGAGCCCGTGCTCTTACACTGACCTTTCTCTTCTCTAGGAAATTTCATTATTAAAGCAGTGTAAGTTTACCTGCTTGTAGAAGTTCTCAGTGTAGAAATAGCCTCATAACTAGACTTGTAAACTCAAGTATTTAGGTATCAAAAAGGCATTATTAAGAAAACAAAATATCTGGCATCTGGAATGTAAAGCCATTTTTCAGCAATGCATCATCAGGTACATGGTTATTGTTATTCCTTTCATCTTTAATCCTTTTCAAATGAAAGTTTTTAAGTACAATTTTACTGAAATATATCCTTTTTATATGCAAAGGCATTACTTTCATTTTAATAAGTTTTATAAATGTTGAATACTTGCTTTAGAATTTTGAGGTGTCTCATTGAAACCGCGTTTGAGAAGTTTTCCTGTTGTTTATGTAAAGCATAATGTACCTCTTTTTGCACTTAGATTTATACAGCAAAAGCTGGAGCGAGCTACCCCAGCTGAGCGCCAGATGGTATTTAATGAGATCCTGCAAGCAGCATATCAATTGATGACTGATGTGTTTGGAAACTATGTAATACAGAAGTTCTTTGAGGTAAGCGTAACGCTAAGTGTATGAAGAGAAATGCGAATGAAATGCTGTAAAATCTGATAAAATTTAACTTTTTTTTAACATCGTAGCAGAATTCTACTGGACTTTTACCGCAGAACCCAAGCATGTAACACTGCACACATGTTTTCTGTTCTGTGGTCCCTGCTTTTCTCATAACAGGCACAGTTTCTCTTTACACTGGCAGTGCATACGTTGGTGAACATTGGTGAATGTTCAGGCTGCACACTCAGGCTTCGCAAACCTTTTAGTGCAATTTATGCAGGCTTTCAGCAGATGATGGGGAACATAAAGATCTGAAGGAGACTTTTTACTGGTTACTGCATCTTGGTAAAGTGTGGGTCTGGAAAATCCTCTTGTACCCAAATAAATAGCTGTGTGAAGTTCATCCAGTGCTGTATAGGAAGAAACTCACATAAAACATATTGAGGCAGGGACATCATAAGATACACCCAGTAATACTAAAACTAGTATATATAAAACAGCTTTGGTTTTTGTTGAAAACTATGGGATAGTGTGGTTTAGCCTCAGTAAGCCACCGAGTACCAAACAGCTGTTTGCTCGCCTTTCCCACACTAGGATGGGGGAGAGTATTGGAGTAAAAATACAGAGAACTTGTGGGTTAAGAACAGTTTAATAACTGAAAGTAAGTGAACTAGAATAATTATACTAGTAATAACATAATGAAAATACTGATACTACTAGTAATAATGATAATATGTAATAAAACAAAGAAATGAGGGAAAATAAAATGATACAACTGATCAGCACTGGCTGATCGATGCTCAGCCAGTTCCTGAGCAGCAATTTCCATTCCCAGCCAACTCGCCTGGCTTACATACTAAGCATGACATTTGATGGCATGAAATGTCACTTTGGGTCAGTTGTCTGGGCTGTGTCCTCTCCCAGCTTCGTGTAGAGAAGAAGCTTGGAACAAAGATGTAGTATCGGAAACTGAAAAAGCCCCTGACTTGGTATAAACATTGCTTATCAGCAGATAAAAACATTAGTGTTACCAATATTCTTCTCAGCACAAATCCACAACATAGCCTTATACCAGCTACTGTGAAGAAAATTAACTCTATCCCAACCAAAACCAGCACAGGTTAAAAAAGTTTCTTACCAAAGAATTCCAAGGTTTGACTTGAAGCAGTACTTGTCTTCTGGAAAAAAAAGTTCTGTGTAGGAAATGTATCCAGCATAGTGTACTTTAAATCGAGGACCATATCAAAGTATCTGGGTGGATAGAAAGTGGAGCTGGAAAATGTCCAATAAGAAATAAAGTGGTTGTTGTAAACAGGAATGTAGTTTTTAATGGGTAATCTACAAAACAGTGTGCTTGCTCACTTGGTTTTTTACTTGCTCTTCTTTACAAGTCAAAATAGCTTCTGAAAAGCATGGCTGATGTGGTATGCAGAATCTTGATCTTGCTTGAGGGTCATCAGTTGCTGGTCTTTTCCATGTTAGGGTGGATGGGTACATATATAATCACTGTTGACCGATTGTCATCTTAATTCTGTGGAAGAGTTCTCAAGGAAGAAGAGCACTAGGCCTTAGTAAGGGACTTAGTTCATTGTTTAAGTAGGAAGGTGAAGTTGTTGAGCTTTCTTCAGTCTCTTAGGTGACTACAGGTGTGGGGTGTCACAGTTCTCAGCAGTGCTGCCTGGACATTGCTGGTGCTACACAGCTGATTGTCCAGGTGATCACTGTGTGGTCTCTTGGACTGTGCCAACCCAGCAGCTTGCGTGGGGATCTGGGAACAGGATAATGTGTGTTACTATGAATCTTGGCTGGCCTCTGTTCTGCTCAGCATGAAGCAGCACAGAAGGTGGTAGTAGCACCCTGGAGGGAATAATATGGGCAGGAATTAGCTACTGCTGAAAAATGGTGATTGAATTATACTCTAATGCAGCCCGTGTACAAAACCATTTTGATGTTGTGTGGCAAAGCCCAGGTATTTCTACATTTCCCAAAGTGCCCATGGTAAGAGTGGTCCTTCAAGCCATATGAAGTTACACAGAAGCTACTTAAGGGATCGAAATGTTTCCCCCCTGCCCTCTCCTGTTACAGCTTGCTTGTTGTCTATCAGGTGTAGGATACATTGACCCACACAAATTTGAGATTCCGGAGAAAATATGATTTGAGTTAATATGGTACAGTAATCTGTAAATTGTCTGGTGTAATTTGTTTAAACAGACAGTCAAGTCTGAGCTGCTTTGATCTCTTCTGTTGTCTTTTAAGGTCAGGTATTTGATAGCAGGTATGTGACTAGAATGTGGAATGTAACAAAACGTCACATTTAGAATATAAAAGCTTCTGGTAAATATACTCACTAAAAATGCAGAGGGAAAAGAAATTATTCAGGGTGCGCAGTAAACCTATGTGACATCATGAAAGTACTTTGGCACGTAAATTCCAGTGTGCTCCATTATGTCTTCCTTTGTTAACAACATACTTCTTTCCTCACAGTTTGGCAGCCTGGATCAAAAGTTAGCCCTAGCAACGCGCATACGTGGTCATGTTCTGCCGCTAGCCCTACAGATGTATGGTTGTCGTGTTATTCAGAAAGCCCTTGAATCCATCTCACCTGACCAGCAGGTAATTGTAAGTTAGAGCAATACCTTCTTTTTGGTTTTTTCCTTTTTATTGTATTCATCTTTTTACTTGCTTAAATTGTTGATCATTCTTCTCATTGTGAAATGCCCTAGGGACTAAGGTAGTTGTTTAAATTGCTGTAAACCACCAGTGGATATGAAGTTTGGACAGTTAAGATGAAACTGAACATTCCTTGGGGGAGGGACAACAAAACATTGTAAAGGCAAGGATAATCTTCTTTTCCAGAATGAAATGGTGAAAGAGTTGGATGGTCATGTTCTGAAATGTGTGAAAGATCAAAATGGAAACCATGTTGTACAAAAATGTATCGAGTGTGTTCAACCCCAGTCGCTCCAGTTCATCATTGACGCCTTCAAAGGACAGGTAGTGTTCTCTTCTGTAGGGTTGCTTTCATTTGCAGATGTTTTCCCATCATTTGCATATACGAGCTAGTGTTTGACACTTTGCAGTCAGCTTGTTTTAAACAGGATAAAAAAGGGATGATGGAACGGAAAAGCTGGTGAAGAGACAGCTAATGTGCTGTAAAAAGATGAATCTGTTGGAGATGAGGCTGTAAGAAAGAGCAGTTTGGAATTGTTATAAATTCCAGTAGGGGTATTCGGCTTAAGGGCAGGCTTTCTGTTCTGTGATATGCCATTTCAGATTTCTCATCAAGTGTCTGCTCTCTAGCATATATTTTTTGTTAAAACTTTGCATTTTCTCCTTAGGTTGCAAGTCTGTCTTTGTGTTTCACAGTTAATGTCTATTATTGAGGAAATACTTTGAAGAAATATACTGGTCTGTTCCCTGCATTTGGGCTGGTGTTAAGTGAAGGGGGGTGGAATTTATGTAAGGTTGGGGTTTTTGTTTTGTTTCCAAGAAGGTTACTAATGTAAGATTGGTATTGTGCTGCAAGCTACAGAATGTGCTGCAGCTCAATTAAGATTTTAATATGCTGAGACAAACGTGTACTTTTATAGACTCGGAAAGTTGTAAAAATCTTACTAACTTGGCTGTGCGACTAGATTTCACTTTAATGGGTGGCTAAATGTATTCCTTAACAAAATATACAATATCCTTCTTCACACATTTTACTCACAGCAATACCTGAATTATTACTGTACATGGTAGTAAATGGCATACCAAGGTTTCTACGGTCAGGTCTTTTGACTTAAAAAATTGTGTATGGGGGTAGATGAGATGCATTTTCTAAACTGTAAATAGAACCCCTTGACTTAGATGTGGCTGTTTATTTACTGGACATCCATCATCAGCTCCAAGTACTTATATATAAAAGATATTAGCTAGTCTGAAGTGGGAAATGAAAAACACCACACTTCAGTCATGACATGTAACAATCGCCTGCCTGCGTCATTTGGATCGGTGTCTAATCAGTCAAGATTGTGTTCAGTTCTGACCAACACTAACTCTTAAGTGTTTGAGTCAATCCCTGAAACACAAATCTGGCTTCTGGAGAAGCAAGGAAAGGGAATAAGCAAGATTTTGACAGTATGTTTTGAATACTTTCAGACTTTGTAACAGGGAGCCTGATGTATATGCTGGAATGTGAATGAGTGAAAATCAGCCACAATAATAATTTCACTCTTTTTTAAAAATTTCCAAATCTTAAGATACGAAATGAAGTGCAAAGTTAAAGCTTGAAAGATGAACAGTGCTTAACTAAGGGTCTTACTTCCAGGCATTCCTTTGCAGCTAAGTAGGCTGGAAACGTTGCAACGAAAACATGGGTTCTTAGCTGTTTAATTACTGAAGTCCTTGACACATGCAAAAAACTGCTTTTTCATCTTTTCCTGACTTTTCCTGGAGATGGAATTCTGATATTGGCAGTCAAAACTTTTTTATAGAAGTAGTTGGCGTGTTCACTGCCAGCTGAAACAAGGTAATATCACTGTATCTGTAAACTTCAGTTGCTTTAACTTCAGCCTCCAACCCTGTTTTAAGGTATTTGTACTTTCAACTCATCCGTACGGCTGTAGAGTAATTCAGCGTATTCTGGAACATTGTACCGCTGAGCAGACTTTGCCAATCTTGGAAGAACTGCATCAACACACAGAACAGCTGGTGCAGGTCAGTCTGTAGACTGATTTTTTTTTTTAATGCATTGTAGAGCTGCTTTGTTATTGTCATAATTTATTCCTATTTCTTAGTTTAAGAAATAGTCTAAATGCATTTGCCTCTTTAGTTTTGTAGACATTGATTTCTTTGTTTTTCTTTCCTTCCATAGTTTTAATGAAAATGAATTTGGAAGTTGGGAGGCAAAGAAGATATAAAAAGTCATTTTCTTACACTTTTGACTGTAGCTTGGAATATACATTGTAAATGCACAGAACTAGTATTTTTTTATTGCAAAGATTTCCTTTTTGTAGTTTATTTTGATTCACTCAGACATCCTTCAGATAACTTGTAATAATGTCTAAACACAAATGCCTTGTCAAAAATACACGTTGCATATTCTTCCACCGAAAGGGCATCTTTTAGAAAAGAAGGCAAAAGACCTTACACAGTATGATTTCCTGTCTTGATCACAATGAGTGCTACAGATGGCTTTGAAATTGAATCAGTTTAAAATACTGGGAAGGGACTGGGTGTTCAGTAGTAATTTCCACATATAAAAAGGCAAGGATTGCCATTTGCTACATACTCTGTCTAGTTGATTCCTCAGTGGTTTCTTGTATATTCAAGTCTCTAGTTAAAACGTAACTGTTCGGGGGAACCAGAGTTGAGGGAGATACTATGGCTGTTAAGGGATGATGAACTTAATTTTGAGGACTTCTTTAAGAGGATAAAAGGTACTCTAGCAAAATGCCGGTTTTACAGATTATTTACATTTTACATGTAAATGTTGTGGTCCATTAAGTAATTCTTCATGCAACATTACATCATCACTTTGTTTCTATAATGATGATGTTCTTGTATTTTTCCTTATATCTGTGAAAATATTAATTTGAAAGTTTATACAAATGCACAAAAGCTGTGTGGATTACTTGGTATGAACACAAAAGAAAATTGAAGTCATCTTATTTTCAGGATCAATACGGAAATTACGTTATTCAACATGTTCTGGAGCACGGTCGTCCTGAAGACAAGAGTAAAATAGTTTCAGAAATAAGAGGAAAAGTTCTAGCTCTGAGTCAGCACAAATTTGCCAGGTATTGCACAGCTTTCACTAACCCTTTCTACTATTGGATTTATCAGTTGTGTTACAAAAAGGATATGATAGGGGTTTTTTCTGTTGTGTAATTTGCCTCCTGAAGTTCCCTGTGTGTATGGAGATGAACAGTAGTGCTGTTCTTATATTGGGTTTGGGGAAGGTAAATGGTAAATGTTGTTCTGTAGCAAAACAAGATTCCACAGGTTGATGGGATGGGTTTGGTTCACCTTTTACAAGTGCAGGGAATGGGTTCCAAGTCCCTGTATGAGGATCCCTAGAGCCATGTGAAAAGCTCTCCCAGAACTTGCTTGATTCGCTGGTGATAAGCTGGGGCTTCCTGACTGTCTCAGTCCAGCCAAGCAGTTCCCAAGTGTAAAAAGCCTTAAAAGGAGGTGGTTCAGCCTGACAAGGATTTTATCCATTAGGACATCTCAAAGATTGTTGTAGGACTCCTGAATTACTCTATTAGAATCTAAAACTCATCCTTCAGTGCTTTTTTGCTGAAATGCTGATCATGTGCCTTCTGTTGAGGAAAACTCACGCCGAATGCATCCTGGATGATGTAGTGAGACTGACCCCTCATGAACACTAAGTAGAAACGCAGTGACATATGTGGGCATTTGTTTTATTGATTGTATGCAAACTAGCAAGTCTCTCTGGATTTTATTTTTCTTTGCCTAAATAGACATGTTCATAATTTATGTCCTCACAACTTGTTTAACTTCTGAAGCACAAACTGGAGACTGGAATCCCTTTGCTGTCTTTGTAAGCACTGATGGCCTTTCCAGCTTCTGAGATACCTGGAAGGTCAGAGGCTTCCTCTACCAAAAGAATACTGGACAGTATCTCTGATCTAGGCATGCTCCTGGAAAGCACCTTTCTTCCAAAAGCAAGAAGCCTCGTATCTTTCTCTGTGTCTTAAGAGGGCCCACAACCAAAAATAGATGTACTAGGATACATCTGCAACCTGAGATCCAGTGTATCTGCAGGTCTGGTGGAATCTGTCTCCTACAAGATAATAAGAATCAGAAAATTACATTTTTTACGTGCGTAGTAGTGTATAATCCTTCAACTTCCTCGATCTTACGGACAAAAGATGTTGAAATAGGGACTTGAATCCTTTACAGAATGCTCCTCAGCGGCGTTAAGACACTTGACCTGTTCAGATAAATGTAAACTTGCTACTTAAAGGAACGTTACGTAAGTCACAGAATGCATTGGTCTTTGTTTTTCAGCAACGTGGTAGAAAAATGTGTCACTCATGCTTCCCGTGCCGAAAGAGCTTTGCTCATTGATGAGGTGTGTTGCCAGAACGATGGTCCTCACAGTGCCTTATACACCATGATGAAGGACCAGTATGCCAACTATGTTGTTCAGAAGATGATTGATATGGCTGAACCCGCGCAGCGGAAGATAATAATGCACAAGGTATATTTGTTGTATGTACTTCTGTTGGTTCAGAAAATATTATCTGTCCTGATTTTTTTTAACTCTGCTGGAGTACCTTTCCCTCCATATGTTAAACTCACTAGTTCTGTAACCTACAACTTGATTTGTAAACGCTGAATTCAGTGGAGCTTGATAAAGCAGAATATATTCAGGTCTCTGAGCACTAAGCTAAAAATGTCAACCTACCAAAGAGTTCCAGAAGCTGGATTTCATACCCTCTCTTTGTACCAGTTTTTCTGTGAAGGTACTTTTAATGTAAAAATGTACTATCTGTCATCTTTATTAACGTAACAGAAGAAATACAGGTTTCTCTTTATTTGTTGGCTGCTGGTATAAATCCATTCAGCAGTTCCCCCGGGGGATTCCCACACTTCCTAACACATGGGCAAAAGTGCTGTTGCCATAATTGCCCTGGGCTATTTAACACAGGGCCTGGGATGTTCCTGCAGTCAGCAACAGGACACTCCCACAAAAGGGTGCCTCCCTTTTCTCTGGTGTGTCAGTTGTTTGGTGAGTCACAATCACCAGTCTTATGTCTTTCCAGAAACTTCCATGATTTTGAAATAGAGGCTTCTGACATTTTTTACGTAACGTTTTTAAAGTGTAATGACCTCTGCTTACGATTTTTGAGATGGAGAGAAAAAAAATAATGGGTTTCTTCTTACAGATTCGACCCCACATCACAACTCTGCGTAAATATACCTATGGGAAACACATTCTGGCCAAGCTGGAAAAGTATTACCTGAAGAACAGTGCTGATCTGGGGCCAATTGGTGGACCACCAAATGGGATGCTGTAAAAGACACAAAGAAATGGAAGAAAAATTGAATTGTGAATGATCAAAAGATACAACTTAACTATAAATGTTCTGATTTTTTTAAATCTATTTATTGACTTTGTTCATCCATTTGTAAAATTTTTATTCTTGTGTATATTTTTGGGGAGTGAATTATTAAAAACAAAAAAAGAAAAAAATATCTCCAGCCCTGATCCGGAGACCTATCAGATTGGATGGCTGGCAAAGCACAGAATGCCTGTATATGATGTAATTGTATCAAAATAGCTGTCACATATTTTGTAAATTTTTACCTTGTAAAGTCACTGAAATAGTTTTTAAAGGGAAAAAGTACAGTATTCTTTTAATACACTGGCTTGCAATCTGGTAGGTCTACCCAGCATCACAGCACAACAGGTTTATAGAGTTGTATATAGAATTAATCCTTATTTTTTCCCTTTTGTGTGAAGTCTTTTATACCAGATGAAAATTGATCAGCTGCATAAACATTATTTAACATGTTGAAAAGTTAAGTTGTATTTTGGTGGTTCACAACACACTATCCAAATAATAAACGGGGCACAGCCAATTGAAGTAGGGAATAACAGAACAATGGAAACTGTAAAAGACTAGCTTTTATCACTTGCTGTGGATATAGTTTGGGGTTTTTTTTTTTAATGGTGCCCTAAGGTTTTCTCTAGCGATGTATTAAAAATAAGTGCTGTACATAGTTATATATTTAATTGTTGTACAAGGTAGAGGGCTTAACATGATGGTGGTACTTCCACTCGGTAAAGTACACTGTTGGGAAAAGGAGTGAACCCTGTATTAACTTTACAGTCAGTTTTACAACAGGAAGAGTAGAGATTTGTATTTTTTTATTTTGCATATAGAATTGTAAGGATTTGAAAGTGTTGAGCGTTTATTTTGCTTTCTCACCGTAGATGCAAAAAACAGGGATTGATGAAGAGAAAAGGGGCCACTGAAAAGTAAACTTGATAGCTCAACATTTAAGCATGATTAAATATTCAGATAGCTTTTTTGCTTCCTATAAATATACGCATTGTATACGTGTAGTTAATAGGTGTAAGTTTACAGTTTGAAAACAAATCTCTCGTTTCAATGTTTATTACAAGCCTTGCTAATTTAGTAGTGATGCTGACTTTGGTTGTACAGATGTACATTTGTAAACCTTCATGCTGTAAATGTAATTTGTTTTACCCCTTTTGGGACAAAAATTTGCATTTTAGTGTATATTCATACCCCCATTCCCTTTTCTCCCCCTGGCATATAGTGTTGTATAATGTAAATTTATTTCAGCGAATCAAGAGTGATTTTTTTAAAATTCTATCTTTATATGGTTTCAGAAATATGAACCGGCTTTCTTTTTATCTATTGTGAGAAACATTGTTTTGTTTATAACATAGCTGTTGATTCTGTTAATATGGACACTTTGGGAAATCAGTCTGTTCGAATTTGAAGTCGGGATAATAAGCATAGTAAGAAATGGACTGAAATATTTGGTTATCTCAGAAACCAATGCTTCTTCCATCTTAATAAATGTGGCATGATTTTTTTGTACAGAAGAGTACTGTATTTTTGAATAGCCTTCTCCCAGCGTAAAGCAAATATGTATGATACTGTCGATTTTTTTCTCTGGACATAATAACATTGTAACAGTAACATAAAGATGATGTACATTTACAAGCGGCCTTATGTACATTTTCCCAATGATCTTTTTAAGGCAGAATTGTGACCATATGTGTATAATTAAAATCCTTTTTAATCCTTTGCCTATGGAAATATTTTGGAAAAAGCTTACTTTGTATATTCAGTTTCTGAAAGATAAAGAAAGTGCTTTGTATGTTGTTGAAGTAAGTATTTTGTGTAAGACACTTGGATGGCTTAACCTACAGTTTCGGTCAATGAGATAGTTTGAAAGCAATGTCTTGAGCACTGATGTTACAGCAGGGGTCTGATGATGAGGAAGGAAAATAGTAGTGGTATAAACTTGTCTAAGGAATTCTGTCGTATCACTGTATCAGTTTTACATAAATCTTATTAAACGTATACCCGAGGCGCTACCTTTTTCAGTGGTGGCGTTAAATCGTTAATAGGCAAACGAGAAAGTCCGTTCTGGCCTACTTGCAGTTTCTGCATCTGTCATTTAGTGCCTGCATTAAGTGATATAGATGATGAGTTATTTTTAGCAAGCACACTTCTAATTGCCAAGTAGTTTTCGCATGGCGGTTCACAGAGTTCCTCTGGAGAGGTACAAGCCCTGTCACTGGAGCCAGAGCTTTCCTGTAGTCACACAAAGGGTGACTTTTGAGCTACTTCCTTGTACACATTCATTCTCACTGACTGTTTTAACCCTGTGTACAAATGCTGTGTGTTATAATCCACACAGCTGACCTCCTCTTCAACAAGTAAGACAGTACATGAGGCTTTTGGGCATGCGCAGGCAGAAACTGAGAATGTCGCAGTACTTCGTCCCGGTAGCCCTTGTGCCGTGGTTGAGTTTAAACAGTCCTATAACTGCCATCCTTGGTGCTTTCAGCATCTTGAACATAATCATCCGCTTGCGTTCCTGCAATCATTCTGCACAAATTCTCCAGGAACATGAAAGTCGCTGTTTTTTCCTTTTCAACTGTTTTATGCTTTGGGTAGAACCACTAGACTTGCTCAAGTATCGCATTTTGATGCAGATTGTGTATGGACCAGTTTGAGGTTTGACTCCAGGTGGCTCGTATTGAATCATGTAATGTTCACCTGTATATACTGTAAAAATCAAAGTGTGTGAATAACACTGTGTGGAATACATCTGGTCTTGTGTTTGTTTTTTTTCCTGTAGGAAACCAGCCGTTCTTTACGTTCTCAGTCGCGTGACTTGCCTGCTATCTGTGGAGCTCAGCTTTGAGAAGGTACCAGATTCCTGGTGATCCCAGGGGAGTCGGTCAGTTACTGGATCGTTAAGTTTCGAGAGGTCAGTTCGGAGCAGCTAAACCTTCATATTGTGTTACAGAACACTGTTAGCGATGGTGTGGTTAAGGCTAAAGCCCGACGACAGCTTCCTCATACACCACGGGATCCAGGATGGTTCTTGAGCATTTGGGAGGGCTGGGATTGTTTGCTGTCTGTGGCATCATCGCATCCACTCTCCTTTCTGTCACTGCCAGGATTTTTTTTCAAAGGAGCGTGTTTAGCTTAAGGTACAGAGCACAGTGGGGTGTGGAACTGCAGGGCAGCGGGTGTGCTTTTTGGTGTTCAAGTAACTCACTGCAGCGGACTCTTACAGGCAGAACAACCCTAACTACTGCCTTGGTCGCTGACTGCGAGATCCCCTGTGATTTTTGTCAGAGTAGGGGGAAGACTGAGGTTTCTGGGGGTGTAACGTCTTGGTGGTTCAGAAACTGATTTGAGTCCCTGCCCTCTGCTCTAAGGAACAGGCGTTTGAAGAGATGCTCGTGGCTCGCTGTGTAGCAGCATGATCTGTCATTTGGTTTTGTTTCATGAGAATCTTTGATGTTCAGCGCACTAGTAACTAGGAAGATGGGTGAGCGGTGAGGTGACAGCTCCTACAAGGAAGCTGGGGGGGACTTTTTACAAGGGCCTGGAGTGACAGGACAGGGGGTAATGGGTTTAAATTGAAAGTGGGGAGGTTTAGATTAGATATCAGGAAGAAGTTCTTCACAGAGAGGGTGGTGAGGCACTGGAACAGGTTGCCCAGAGAAGCTGTGGATGCCCCATCCCCGGAAGTGTTCAAGGCCAGGCTGGATGAGGCTTGGAGCAACCTGGTCTAGTGGAGGGTGTCCCTGCTCATGGCAGGGGGGTTGGAACTAGATGGCCTTTAAGGTCCCTTCCAACCCAGACCATTCTGTGATTCTACCCTGTCTGTCAGAGAAGTAAAGCTCAGAGAACAACTGCAAAAGCATTTTGAGGTCTAGTGACTGGTAATTAAGGTTGGATCGCATGTGTGCCTGGGGAGCAAACCCTCTGCAAACACTACAGAAGAGCAGTGCGCTGCTGAGCGGCTGCAGCAGGTCGGCCCAAGGGCCCTAATGCTGCATTTTGTACGGGTGCAGATCGTGTTGCAGCTTTGCTCAGTGATGTCATACTTGTGCTGCTGCTTGAGGAAGGGAAGAACCGCGGGCTGTGTCTCAGCTGTCCCAACCCACGGCATGGTAGGGGCGTCTGTCAGCTTTGCACAAAGGTTCGCATCTTGCCAAGCTGCCGGTAGCACTTGCAGGCATCCCAAGGTCTTACTGGTCTGTGGACAGCACTGATGCTAGGATGAGGATGTGCTACAGGCGGTGCCTGAGGAGCTTCCAATTGAAGTATTTCCTGTGATGGAAACAGTGTCTGTCTGTGCCCCAGGATGGCTGATTGTCTTGGGGATGGGAAACTGCTCTCTCAGGGATAGCATGTCCCTCTCCGGACTGTGCTTTGTTCCTCAAGGGCTGGTGTGCAGTACTGGGCCAGAGAGGTTTGGGAGAAGTTGGCAAATTGCCACCCAAGATGTGAGTGAGGGGTGCTGCAGAATGAGCCTGGGGTGTGGCAGAGCAGCCCAGGCCTCCCCACTACCTTGTCATCGGGTTAGAAACCAGCCCCATTAGTGTGGAAACTGGTCATAGGTCACCTCCTCGCAGGCGGAAGGATGTCCACGCAGTGCTGATTGCAGCCCAGCACCAGCGCAGAACGTGGGCTGTTCTGTGCGGGCACAGTGCCCGCATTAAGGGAGGGAACTGGCTTTATCCAGGAGAGCGAGCCAGAGCCCAGCGTTACCTGTTAGGTTTCAGAGCACGGGGCTGTAGGTAGCCTGCCACCCTGCGTCAGGGGCGGAGAGCCAGAAGGGAAGACCGAGCTTAACGGGTTTGCTTAGACTCCTGCTGCTCCTCAGCTGGTGCAGGGGTGTTTCCTCCTTCAGCCCTTTGGACGGAGCCTGCTGCTCCTGCGTGCTGGCGCTGTGGTTGGGGAACTTGCCCATCACAGGAGGTGCTTGATTTAGTTTCCTTTCTCAGCCTCAGGGTTTCAAACGCACCTCCCTCACTTCACAGGAGTATGTCCTAACCACAAGGAGCTGGGCGGGTTCACTTTTTCCAGTTCTGAATTTTGGGCCAGGCGTTCGGCACAGCTCAGGCCGTTGGTTGCATCACAAACAGCACAAGATGGAGCATG